AATTGATATGCTTCTTTACTCTCTTAAAAACAACATGATCGATGGACACGTCAGGCTTCCGCCAGACTAGAACCCATTTAGCACCTGTTCCTGGACTAAGGTGTATGTATACACGCGCTTCATTAAAATGTAGGAAAGAAAAAGAAAAAGAAATATGAACCAGATGAGAAAAGTATGTGTATTAGTAATTGATTAAAACGATGTAGCTACTATATTTTAAGAAAAAAAATATGTTTTTAATGAGCTTATTTTTTAATGTTTCTTTTTCTTCTTTATTCAAGGTCATTAATTTATAATTGATAATAATGATGATGACGATGATACATAGTTTTATATTCATACTTATTCTTTTATCAGTATCATATATATCTTGTGATCCTATTGAATTATCCGAGATAATTATTCCTGAACATACACCAAGTGGCCATTTATTATTAACATTAAATTCTTCATCAACAAAACAAAAATATTCATATCGTTTTGTTAGTAATAATAATCGTGAACTTCAACAATATTTTTCTTTAAATTCATCCACTGGTCAATTACATATTATTAATGATATCGATCGTGAAAAACTTTGTACACATCGATATACAAAATGTAAATTTTTATTAAAAATTTTCGAATTATTTCATGAAACACTTTATCATATACCAATATTAATCGATGATGTTAATGATCATCAACCAATATTTCCTTATGAATCAAAATTAATTCAATTACATATATCAGAAAATTCTCCACCATATCAATCAAAATTATTTATTCAACAAGCATATGATCAAGATCAAATTGATAATCAAAAACAATTACAATATCAACTAAAAGATATCGATAAAACATTTCCATTTCGTCTTGAAACTAATGTTGATGTATCAAATCGTTTAGCACTTGTTCTTATTCAACCACTTGATCGTGAACGCATTGATTCATATAATTGTACATTACATGTTATTGATACTGCTGGACATTACGAACAATTACATATAACAATTATTATCGATGATGTCAATGATCAATCACCAATGTAAGTATAACATATAGATAACCAACGCGTATAAATCGATAAATGTTTTTATTTATAGTTTCGAAAGTGATACATATTCAGTTGAATTATCTGAAAGTACTTCAATAAATACAACTATTCTTCAAGTTCAAGCTCATGATGCTGATATTGGTTTAAATGGAGAATTAACTTATGATTTTACTGATGCTTCAAAACAATTTTCTAATACATTTTCAATTGATAAATATTCAGGTCTTATCTATCTTCATTCATCACTTGATTATGAACAACGATCATCCTATATATTCTACATTCAAGCACGTGATTCAGGTAAAGAACCACGTTCATCTCAAACATTAGTTAATATAACTATATTGGATGAAAATGATTGTTCACCCAAGATAAATTTTCGTTTTCTACCTGAAATAACTTATAATCCATCGAAAGATCTTATTGAAATATCTGAAACATATCCCATTGATAAATTTTTTGCACAAATTATTGTTACAGATGATGATAGTAGTTATCGTGGACAAACACGTTTATGGTTTGAAATTATTGATGAACATAAAGATAATGATCAATTATTTTATTTATATCAAATTGATAATTCAACCTATTTTTTTAATCGAACAAAACAATTTGATTATGAATTACAACAATGGCATCGTTTAATATTTTATGCACAAGATTTTGATCCGAAAAAACCATTACAAACAAGTCAAATATTAACAATACATGTTTTAGATGAAAATGATAACGAACCAAAATTTATTCATTCATTTTATCATTTAAAAATCGATGAAAATAATGAAGAAAATACTTTTCTTGCACAAATACAAGCATTCGATCCTGATAGTGGAGAAAACGGTCGTTTAACTTATGAAATTTTAACAAATGAAACTTCATTTCCTTTCTATATCAATGAAAATACTGGTATGCTCTATTGTTCCAAATCATTAGATCGAGAAAAACGTGATCGTTATGATTTTTATATTGTTGCACATGATCATGGTTCTCCTATAAGTTTATCATCAAAAGTTCATACTCGAATTGATATCAATGATTTAAATGATAATAAACCAAAATTTATCCATGATAAATATGAATTTTCAATTGAAGAAAATTCGAATCCTTTAGAACCAATTGGTTTTATTCGTGCATATGATTATGATTTGAATAACAAATTAATTTATTTAATTGAAAATGAAAATGAATCGAAATATCCATTTCAAATCAATCAAAATGGTGAATTAACAGCTCGATATTCAATTGATCGAGAAATTCAAGATGTATATATATTTAATGTGACAGTTACAGATGGTTTTTATACAACAACTGTACCTGTTACAATAAAAATCTTAGATATAAATGATTGCGTACCACAATGGAAGAAACCACAAGAAAATGATACAGTTGTAATTATGAATAAAGATCGAATAACTATTGGAACAACAATAATAACATTTGAAGCTATTGATGATGATGATAAAACAAATGGAAATGGTTTAATTAGTTATTCGATTAAAGAAATTCAACCATTAGAAAATGATTTTTTAACTTTATTAAATACTGGTGAATTAATTTTAAATTCAACACCATTATCTAAACGTTATCGTTTATTAATATGTGCACAAGATAATGGAAAATTTATTCAACATTCATCATTTATACAATTCTATTTATTAATTAGTGATAATAATACAAACGGAAGTAGTTTATTCAATGAATTTAATCATAAAGATTCGTTATTAAAAATAAATTCATTATCAACAACAAAACGTGTATTATTATTAACGACAATTTTTATTTCACTTGCTATTATTCTTGGTTTTATTGTATGTATTATATTAATACTTATATGTCGATATCGACGACAAAAATATTTATATTATATTAAATGTAAAGCTGCACAAGCAGTTGTAAATAATAGTAATCATTCACATGATGCAACAATGATTATTGTTGAAAATCGTTTAACAAATTTTGATGAAAAAAATTCAAGTTCAAATTCATCAAAATTAAGTTTGGTATGTCTTATAATAGGTTTCTTTGTTCAATGCAAATAATTCTTTCTTTTTTTTCTTCACAGGAAAATCTTCATCAAAAACGTCTTATCGATCATTCGTCATCGCCATCTTATACAGGTAATTGACATCGCGTGAAAATTCATATTAGTTAGATTGATTCTACCTTGAAACTGTCGAATGAATAGAAAAAAAATCGGATTCTTTTTTTTTTTCTCACCCACAATTAATTGCATAGGTCGTTAATAAACCAACAAAGAACATGAGAAAAATAAATGATCCCTTCTCACGCCATAGATACACACATGTCTTTTATAAAGAATGGTCAGTAACAAACATCTTTTATCATGACGCGAGATTAAGATCAAATAAAAAAAGAAATGAAAGAGAACACGGTGATTGTTAGTATGTAGATATTATTCGTTTTGATGAACGAGAGTTTTATACAAAGTAATGTCGTTTACGAAAAGATTTGTGAATGTGAAAGTGATTAATCCATTGATGTGAAGTGACAAAAGAAAATCTTGATCATCATATATATGAGTGCGGCTAGTTTTATATATAAGATAAATCAAGTATTAAATTGTTTTATGACGTTAAATAAAGAGGTTGAGTGTTACTTTTCTTTCTTCTTTTTTTGGTCTAATACACCGCCCTTAATCAATAAAAAGAACATTAGATATATATATATATATATGTATTTCATTCATAGGTGCAAATATCTATACACAAAATCATCATCATAATGAAGTGTCATCAACAATAAAACTAAATCAAACAACTAGTGACTATTATAGTAATAGTAGTAAACATGAAGAAGGTAAAATGCAATTATTTTATTTATTTATTTTATTCTAAAATTATATTATTAGATGTTGATGAATGGACTGATGAACAACAACAACAAAAATCAGTTGTTGATAATAATAATCCATGGTCAATAGAAAAAATTCTTTATCCAGATTGGTTATATAAAGGTTCAAAAACAACACCAACAACAAAAAAGAATTTTAATACATCAACATTTATTGATATTAATTCTTATCGAACATTTGAAATAAATGGAAGTACAACAAGTAGTTGTAGTAATGGAAGACGAACAATGTCGTCTTCGTTAACATCAAATGGTCAACCATCACCGAAACAAGTTCGATTTGGTTGTCAACAACAGATTGTTGAACAAACACGTTCATATCCTCATTTAAGTACAACTATTCGGCAATTGAGAGCAGGTACAACTACAACTGTCTTACAAAATGATGCACATGATACATTTATTTAATCATTATGTTTTGTTTGTGTGTGTGTGTGTGTGTTTTTGTTGTTAATGGACCTTTTTTTTTCTCTTGTACAGTTAAATTTTCGGTGTCTCTTTCTTTTCTTCGTTTGAATAACGAATAAAGAAAGAAAATAATATTATACTAAACATTGAACAGATGTGTATGTAATATGCTCGAACAGGAAGAACTAACTTGATAAAAGATATAAAGTGGTTTGATAGATGATAGTTAAAATATATAAATATATATGTCTATTTGATAGTTATCATACTTCAACAGATGGTAGAAACGCAAACAAGACAGGAATCCGGACTGGTCAAAACGGAAATTAGATGATGATATTTTTTTAATGAATAAAAGAGAAAACAAAGACAACGCTCATATGGCATAGAAAGATATCAAACATTTGCTATGCACTTAAATATTTTTATCTAATGTGATTTTTTTTGATAATAAATGAAAAGAAATATAGTTCTTAGTAATAGCAAATCCAACAGTGTATTTTATTATATCAATACATGTATAATAAATTTACTGGATTTTATAGTTTTCTATTTTTATGACAAATATTTAATAATAATATACATATACATGTTGATAGAAGCCATTCTATATTTAAGAAGAATATATATATTTAGTTTAAACTAGAAAGTGGTATATGTTATATTTGAAGGTTTATTTGGAATTCTGTAAAAAGCACCATAAATAAATATGGAAAATTTTTGTACAACGAAACATATCAAGAGATAGTTCACTTCGTTGATATACTATTCTATCGAGAAAATCATTTTTATTGATGTATTCTGTCAGTTTCTAGACTATTTAAATGATCAATACTTATCTTGAGTTCTATTAGATCCCTTTGAGAGATATTCAATATGGAATCTATGAATCACAAGATGTGGATGATTAGCTGATTATTTCAAATAAAAATAACTATAAAGTCGAAAGCTTTATCGAAAAATTTGCTTATATTAAAAAGAATGGTTATTATTATCTTTATTTAAAAAGAGATTATTTATCAATATCAAATATAAAACATGAATAATATAAAATACGAAACTGGTAAATGTGTAAATAAGAACTCGATATTGCATATATAAGATTAATAGTGCGTATCTTTTCTGTGTATATCTTTCGTATACCCGTTATTATTATACGAAACCCTACATTTATATTAGCTGTCAATTATGATTGGAAAACAATTTTCTAATTCTTCATGCTTTTGACCGATTGACAATAAAGAACAATATCCTTAATACAAATGAACTTTTGACTTTTATATTTATAGAAGTCAGTATATATCTGACTTATATAAAAATGAACGAATGACACGATCGAGGTCGTCGAATAGATTTGTATTCAATATCCACTTTTCGCTCTTTCCCCATATTTTATAAACTGGCTTTGTTATACGTATTCAACATTGTTCGTAGAGATGTATATATATAATAGATGTAGTTGATTTTTATACTGTCATCTTTCAGAAAACATTAAATACTGCAAGCAATTTATTACTCAAAAAGCTAACAATGACTAATGATGCTCTCAAAACTGAACATAATACTGGACGTATAATTAATTTTGGTGCCGGACCTGCTCAATACCCACTTGAAGTATGATTCTAATTTATTAATTTTTCTTCTTTCAAAAATATTCGTTTATTAGGTAATAGAAGAATTACAAGCTGAATTTTCAAATTGTTACGGAACGAGAAGAACTATTAAAGGTAAAAATCTTTTTTATTTGAGAAATAATCTTTATAAATTTTCTCT